GATGGCAGAAATAGAACGCATGGAAAACCTAACAGAAATTATTTCTTGCAATTTGGAGAAGGTGCCAACAATTTTGTCCAGTCCATTTTGGTGTTTTGCGTGGAATGTGTCAGGTTTGGCAATTTTTTCTCCTCGTTTTTTGTGTCATACCAATACAAACAAAAGAAATAAACATGAGAATGCCGAAACATTTGTAATTGCAACAATTTTCTGGGTGAAGTGGTGCATTATCTGACAGAAATGCCGGGGTGCCAATATTTTTGGCCATATCTGTCTCAATAACCATATCGTCTAAAAACATATACCTATGGGATTATACTCTATAATATCTGATTTGATTTTTTCAAGATATAATTTGAAATGTTTTATATTATATGATTAAATTGTAAACTTTCTCTAATGCCTAATCTATATTCTTTGTTATTGAAAATATAAAACTTAGTAAAGAATTAAAAAACAAAAACAAAAAAACAAGTTCTTGCCAGCTTAACCAATAATTTTTTGAGTAATTTGTCATGGTTGTCGTAACCGGGGGGTCCATCAGAGGGGAACCCTTTGCCTCCATACTTTGTATTATAATGTGTCAGATATCTATGAAAAGTTTATATTTAACTACCAGAAGGGTTATTCTACACTGAAACCGTCATCTTCCTCCTAAGTATCTTGTTTGCTGTTTGTAAAAACCAGTCTAAAGGAAAACTAATGGTGTAAAAAGACAATTCTGGGTTTAACCAATCATTTTCAGCATATAGATTCTTAATGGTCCACAAATCTGGGGGGCGTGGCAGGGGTGTGCCCATTGTCTATATATAACTGGAGGTGTGGCAGGGGTGTGTCCATTGTCTATATATAACTGGGGGTGTGGCAGGGGTGTGTCCATTGCCTATATATAACTGGTGGTGTGGCAGGGGTGTGTCCATTGTCCATATATAACTGGTGGTGTGGCAGGGGTGTGTCCATTGTCTATATAAAACTGGGGGCGTGGCAGGGGTGTGCCCATTGTCTATATATAACTGGGGTCATGACAGGGTGGTGTCCATTGTCTATATATAACTGGGGGCATGACAGGGTGGTGTCCATTGTCTATATATAACTGGGGGCATGACAGGGTGGCGTCCATTGCCTATATATAACTGGGGGCATGACAGGGTGGTGTCCATTGTCTATATATAACTGGGGGCATGACAGGGTGGCGTCCATTGTCTATATATAACTGGGGGCATGGCAGGGGTATGTCCATTGTCTATATATAACTGGGGGCATGACAGGGTGGCATCCATTGTCTATATATAACTGGGGGCATGGTAGGAGGTGTGTTCATTGCCTATATAACTGGGGGGAGAGTTGGGTATTGCCTAAATACATTGTGCTGGAAGGTGTCCCTCTTTCTCATCTCAGAAAGCTGGGAGGTCTGAATCCTAAACCTTCCGCAATCCAAATTTAAAAATAGGTTTTGTCTTTAGATATCCTTCAAATTGCAACTCAAACCAAAACTATTTTCTAGGGCAGGCCTTCTTAAACTTTCTCCACTCGTGACCCCTTTTTGGCCGAGGACATTTTTAAGGGACCCCAGCGTCGATGGACTCAAGAGGGATTAGAGCACATGTCAAAAAACATTTTGGGTTGTCAGCAGGACAGGAATAGATAGAAAATCCTTCAATGGGGACACTAGTTCTGGTGACTGCTGACCACCAGGGATCTCACTCACATTCGAGGGATTTCCTCTCACTTCCTGTGGTGGCTATTAGACAGGAACTTAAGGAAAATCTACCCAATGGGACGCAGATGGCAAAGAAAGCTGTTCTGTCCAAGTCTTAAATGGGTTTGGTTGAAAGAAGAACTTCACTCAGCAAATGGCCATACCACATACCCCCGCTGTTACTTTAGAAAATCTGCAAACTCTTCCTGTAAAATTAAATTCTTCATTATTCCTTCAGGAAATGGGTTTTTGAATTTTGTTCCTAAAGAGGCCATTTCTCCCCAGCACTCCAAAAGCTCATCAGGACCAAACTGAGAAATTCCTAGATTCCATGATGCAATGCAATTTGCAGTGCTTTTCAGAGTCACTGCTGGCAGGGAGGAGCAGTTGCTGCTGGCAGGGAGGAGCAGGGTGAGCTGAAATGCTGCGTCACTGCTGGCAGGGAGGAGCAGGGTGAGCTGAAATGCTGCGTCACTGCTGGCAGGGAGGAGCAGGGTGAGCTGAAATGCTGCGTCACTGCTGGCAGGGTGGAGCAGGGTGAGCTGAAATGCTGCGTCACTGCTGGCAGGGAGGATCAGGGTGAGCTGAAATGCTGCGTCACTGCTGGCAGGGAGGAGCAGGGTGAGTTGAAATGCTGCGTCACTGCTGGCAGGGAGGAGCAGGGTGAGGTGAAATGCTGCGTCACTGCTGGCAGGGAGGAGCAGGGTGAGTTGAAATGCTGCGTCACTGCTGGCAGGGAGGAGCAGGGTGAGGTGAAATGCTGCGTCACTGCTGGCAGGGAGGAGCAGGGTGAGCTGAGCTGCTGTGTTGCTGCTGGCAGGGAGGAGCAGGGTGAGCTGAGCTGCTGCTGAGCTGCTGGCAAGCAGGAGCAGGGTGAGCTGAGCTGCTGTGTTGCTGCTGTGAGGGAGGAAGCCGGGTGAGCTGAGCTACTGAGTCACTGCTGGGTGAAGGGAGCAGACAAAGCTGAGCTACTGAGTCACTGCTGGGTGAAGGGAGCAGACAAAGCTGAGCTACTGAGTCACTGCTGGGTGAAGGGAGCAGACAAAGCTGAGCTACTGAGTCACTGCTGGGTGAAGGGAGCAGACAAAGCTGAGCTACTGAGTCACTGCTGGGGGAAGGGAGCAGACAAAGCTGAGCTCATGAGTCACTGCTGGGTGAAGGGAGCAGACAAAGCTGAGCTACTGAGTCACTGCTGGGTGAAGGGAGCAGACAAAGCTGAGCTACTGAGTCACTGGTGGGTGAAGGGAGCAGACAAAGCTGAGCTGCTGAGTCATTGCTGGGAGGGGAAGTCAGGAGTCAAAGTTTGCAGGAGATAATTTATTTTGGATATTGGGAACTGTCATGTAAGACTGCTAATTACGGATGCACCGATACAAGTATTTTGGTATGGAGTAGGAGTACCCAAAGAAAATTTCGGTATGCGCCGATACCGAGTACCGAAAGTCTCGTTCAGGAAGCCAGGCGGCGTGTAAAGACTGGCCAATCAGGAAGCCGGGCGCCGTGTAATGACGCGGCGCCCGGTTTTCCTGATTGGCCGGAAACCCGGCTCCATGCTCCCTCGTCATGAGGTGACGAGAGTGCATGAAGCCGGTTTCCCAGCCAATCAGAAAGCCATGCGCCGCGTCATTACACGGTACGCTGCTTCCTGATTGGCCAGCTTCCCGACCAATCAGGAAGCCGGGCAGCGAGTCATTACACGCTGCCCAGCTTGCTGATACCGGAAGTATTGGGCTAGGCATCGGAGCATTTGGGCGAGTACGAGCACTCGCCCAAATATTCGGCATCGGCACTGATACTAGTATCGGCATTGGTGCATCCCTACTGCTAATAGGTTTTGGGTTTTTTATAGAACATACAATAAATAAGCCAAGATGTGAGTTAGCAGTATTGTTTTGGAAGGGAACAAGGAATATTTGCTATTCATCCTCAAAGGTCACAGCAGAAGCACTGAAGTCAGTTCTAGGCAGTTTCTCAACAGCTCAGCTCCACCTGTCCCCCCTCCCAATGCTCCCGCTCCGTTTTTACATACATACAGTACTTACATAAGCTTAGTCACTGCTGGGAGGGGGAAGAGCAAGGTGAGCTGAGCTGCTTTGAATCACTGCTGGCAGGGGGTAACTGAGGAGTTGAATCACGGCTGAGAGGGGGAACTGGCCTGTCGAATCATTGCCGCGAGAGGGAGAATGGGGAGCTGAGCTGTTGAGCCATGGTTGGACGGGAGGAACTGAGATGCTTAGAGAGCAACTTAAATGACTTCGGTGCTTCGGCTGTGAAATTCCCCAAGAACACTGGTCAAGCTGTTTTAGTGATTAATAAGCTCCCCCCAGACCTTGTAAAGAATATAAGCTGGTGTATGACACATTTGAAAGGAAGTAGAAAGCTTTTATTTCATGTTTCCATTCTTACAGATGAGTCAAATGTAAAAAAATTAAACAAGAAGCCCCCGAGCCCATAAACATCTGCCCCTGTAGACCGTGGATTAAGGTGCTTTTCCATAAAACTCATAACTAGCATCTATCTATCCTCAAAATGATTGGATTTGTTGTTTTCAGACACCAGCATAGAAGAATAGTAGGGGTGAAAAACATACTTTTGGATTTAATCATTTTTGATGCATAATGAATGCCCCACGTAGCTGGGGGAATGGCAGGGGTGGGTGTGTGTTGTCCCTTCTTGTGGTCTCGGAAGGTTGGGAGGTGTGACAACACCAGCCTGGTCTTCACTGCTGAAGTATTTGCAGTAGTGCAGTTGGTTTTGATTGAGTGGTACGCATTTTAGAGTACTGATATTCACAAAAATCAACCCCCCTCCCCCCCCAATGGTCGGGTTAGATATGCACTCTCATACCCTCCAAATAAGGGACACCTTGCCAAGGGCACCCACCACCCCCATCATAAAACTCAAGGTATAAAATATAAATGACTCATAGGAAAAAATAAGAAAAATACTGCTAAGGCAGTAATGAGAGGAAAGGGTTAACAAGCAATAGTTACAATTAGCTAAAGGTTAATAATGGTAAACCCGGAACAACTTTTTGTTCACAGTTGCAGGCTTCCTTCATGCAGGAGTCGCTGTCAGCCCTCCTGATACACAGAGACCCGGCTGCCAATTGGACATTTGACGCATTACACGGGGAGAGCTGGTACAGATCTGTGTATGAGGAGCCGCTGTCAGGACTAGCTAGTAAGTGTGCTGGAAAATTGTTGTGTTTGGAATCACCTTCAAGGCTCAGCTGTCATTTTGACAGCCGGATCCCGCTCCCTGTATCAGGAGCTGCTGTCAGAGCTCTGGGAACCGGCTGTCAATCTTTCATACGGTAGGATTCCTTCAGGCTCTCAATGGCTTGCTCTTTGCTTATGACATACCATTCTACGGGAAGTTGGGCAGGTTTAGCCTTGTATTCCTTTGCAAACTGTTTATTGAACTTTTGGAAAATGAATTTCCAGTAATCAGAGGCCGAGATGCTCGGATCTGGCTGTATCTTCCAGTCTGGGTAAAATGTATGGTATTCTTTGTACGGATGAAATTTCCAGTCCGTGTCCACGTTTTTGAAGACCTCTCAGTGACCACGTCAGTAGAGCAAAGTGAAGAGCACAGTACTTTTGAATCAACAAATCTGTATCTCCCCAGACCTTGAGGTCGATGGACGGTGGCAAAGTGCTCTGTGTGTTCAGCACAGCCGGCCTCGCAGGGGACTTTACAGAATGGGCACTGCTTCCCGCAGCCGATCACCTTCTTAAACAATTCATCTTCGGGTTTGAGGGTCATTTGTGCCAGCAGAGATTCAATGCCGAGAGATGCGATATCTGCAAGAATGTCTTCTTCCGTTTTAGAAAGGTAGAAGTCAACGTCGGCAGAGAACTGACCGACAGATGCAGAATTCTGAAAGAGGGTCACCCTAATGTTGTCCTGAGATATTACCAAATCCTTCTCTAACTTCTTACGGATCTTGGAGAGACAATCAGACACATTATTACTGGCTAGGATTTGTGCATCTTTCAACGTTCCTCTCACCTTGTTCAGAATGGAGGCGGCAATATCGGACAGCAAGCCTTCCAGGCGTCCAGGTCCTGCATATTTTTCTTTGATCAACTCCAAGATAGTGTTCTTGACGAATCGCTCGTAGTTGTTAATATACTCCACATACTGTTCAAATTTATCATCTTCAATCAGTTTTTGGAGCACGCGGAGTTGGAAGAAAGTCCGACTCATGAATATCACGTTGTCTCCACCGTGGAGTAAGTCGTTCACAATGTCTTTCCCAAGGTGATCGTTGACATATTTCATTACGGCCGGTTTGAGGCACTGCTGGCAGAACCGCTTTGCCCTGGTTTTGCACTCATCCTTCTTCTGGAATACGTTTTTGAAAATAGTGAGATATTGAGATTTGGCGGCTCGCAGACACAGGAGGGAGTCATTCCGTTCAACGAAGTCATCGTGCATCTTCTGGAACTTTTTAGCTGCTCTGCTGAGAACAAGGAGTTTGAGGTCAAGTTCGAATTGGTCGGTTGTGTGAAGCTTCTTCACGTCATTCTGCCTTAGTCTGTGATTAACCATGCTTAGCAACTCTGAACAAAATGCATCATGATAATCGTTGTCCGTACTAACTTTCTGTTCTACGTAGTGAACGGATTGGTTCAGTAGATCTTCGGCTATCTTCTTTGTTTTATAGCAGTAGTCATCTTTGTCGAAATTCTTAAAACCTGCTGCCTGGTACCATGGTTGTTGTTCGCTCTTTTTGTACCACTGAAGATCGACGTGTTCATCCTTCTCCTTAAACGAAGCATGAGCAAATGCAGAAAGCTTTTTGATATCTATTAACTGTTGACTGATGACCCCGCTCTTGTGTTTCATCTCCTTCTGAAACTGTTGGAGCATTTGTTGGTCAATGTCTTTTTTCTTCATGGGAGGGATCTGAAGTCCCTTTACTGTGTCCTCCCACGTAACCTCAAACTTACTATCCAGTTCCCTCTCGCTGATCTTTCCTTCTCTTTCCTTACATGAATCCAAGAGAGAACTGACTTCTGCTTCGATTTTTGCACTGTATTCATCCTTCAGATCTTGTATCTTACATTTCATCTTCTGGATACCAACAACTTCCCAGGATTTGGCATTCCACTCTTCAAAAAGTTCCCCTCTGAGACTTTTTATACTTTTAAAGAAATCCTGTAGGTGCTTTTCGACCAGATGTGAATTTTCCAGTTCACTTTCGAAATACAAATTCAGTGATTCCTGCATTCTTCTTTCTAGTTCTTTAAGCTTTTCAGGCATGGAAGTGCTGATTGTAATCATCATGTTCTCCGCTATTTCACTTTTCTGCTGATTTTTGATGGAATTGAAAGACTCCGTCATCCAGTTGTACATCGCTCTGCGAAAGCCCCACTCCAGTTCTGAATATTTTATAGACAGTTGGTCATAGGCATCTGCCACTAAGCTGTTTCTGAAGCTGAAGATAAACTTTTCATGTTTCACAGCTGTCCACAAACTTTGCAGCCACTTGAGAAATGTTGGGATATTCTGCGTCCTCTCCGCCTTCTTTTTTATGAACTGAAGCAAGTTTTTTTTTACGGAAAGGATGTTTTCGCTGTATCCAGTATTTATTGGAGCCATAGGCGGGACCCCGTACCACAGACCAGGAATGTACCAAGTGTGTTCATTAAGATCATAATCCATGACGTCATTGAACGATGTGATTCCCTCGAGCTTCTCCATTTTTGCTGCGGCTTTGGTCATTTCATTCAGGTGCTCCAAGAGTGTCTTCCTGTGTCTGATATTCATAACATGAGCGGACACATCACTCACATTCTGATGTATGAACTGGCAGTTGGGCTTCCTTCCGATCTCTTTCATCCGAAGAAAAGCATGGACCACAATCTGTAAAATATCTTTCATTTCTGTTGTGTTTTCCATGGCTAGGTTGACTATGGTGATATCTGACAGCCCAACAACCAGCGTGGCTAACTCATTGTCATGTTCATAACTGTCCTCCTGAGAAGCTAGTTGAGGAGCTTTCAACCCCTCTGTGTCAATCACCAGAATGAAGTCACAACCCATCTCTTGCTTGAAGTTCTCTTCAACTCTAATAAGTGTCATGAAGGCTCCTCGTGTACATCGTCCGCTGGCCACTGGGAACTGCAAACCAAACATGGTGTTGAGAAGGGTGGATTTACCGGTACTTTGCACCCCCAGCACTGTAATTATTCTCATTGTGCATTTTTTTCCTGTTTTGGTGTCCAACTGATTGAAAACATCTGTTATCCACTGCAGTGGAATGCTGGAGGTGTCTCCATCAACCAGCTCCAATGGAAACCCTTCCAATAGAAGATCAGCGGCTATCCCTGGAAGGTTCCCAAATGTTACTTTCAATTCAGATTGATTTTTCTTAAAAAACTTTGCCTCGTGCATCTGTCCCAGTTCACGCAAAAAGTTTTCAATCCCGAGAGAGCTGTCTGTCATTTGGCGGTCAATGCGTTTTAGTTCCGCTATGTTGGTGGAGTATTTTATATATTCGGCCTGCAACTCCGACAGGTTGGATCGAGCGATATTGTCCAGGAAGAACTTCATCCACTTTAAGAAATAAAGCTTTTCCGTAGAAGAAAGTTCGATAAGAGCCTCCAGGAACGTCTTGATGTCTCTTTGGAGCTCCTGCTGGCTCTGCTGGTTGCGCAGCTCTACGTTTTCTGTGATCAGTTTTGACTTATAAACTTCCACATCAACGTCATTAGGTTTTTTCATCCTGAAAATTTATTTCTCATTTTTCGTGATTCTTTTCCAGAGGTCCCTCTGCAGGATCAATGTTTCTTTTTTATACTGTGGGACGTCCACTATTTTTCTGCAGATTTTCATAGCAAAGTGTTTAGCCTTTTGGCAATCACTGGAGCTTTCATCTACGAAAATATCAAGTCTCTTGGCATCGCTTTCAAGATCTGCCAGATTTTTGTGGTTGGAAGACACCTTAGTTAAATTTCTCATAATGGCCTGTATTTCCTTTACAATCTCAGCCTCATTCATGGATGAGTCCTTCACTAAAATGCTGTTGTTCTTCAAGTTGAGGAGTACAGATAATTTTTTAAGGGTCTTCATTTTCCCCCCGACATGTTGGCCTTTTTGTGGACAGATAACAAAGAAATAGTTAGGGTTGCCCTGTGCAAAGTTCTCGATGAATTCGCAATGGTTCTCCTGGATGTCTTCAGAGAAAAAGAACACAGCAGAGGACACGTTTGTAAGAAAGCTGAACTGCTTCTGACTGGAAATGAGATCTCCACGCAAATTTGTGACAGCTATGGGCTCTTGAAACACATTTGAGTTTTCACTCCCACTTGGAAAATACCAGGACATTTCGAGAAGACCTTCAGAGACGGTTCTAGAACGATAGCCAAGCTCCATGTCCTGATGTACAAAGAAGTCATGATGAGTGTGAGTGGGGCTCAAAATTTTATTGAGAACTCTAGACTTTGATAGGCTGCAGTTGCCCAATCTCACAAAGGAGAAGATAGGCATAGCTATGTTCGTTATATTTTCTTCTCTAAAGCCTTTCGAACTTAATAACGAAGGTGGTCTCCATCTCTTTATGATGTTTCTCATGGCCCATAGCATGAAGATGCATTTTGAATCATCACGAGCAGGGAGCAGCAGGGGGACAGCAAACTGGCATGTGGACATTTTGTTCACTATCTCTTGCTGTAGAAAACTGTCTGAACAAGTCATTGCAGCGCACAGAACATCCAGGGGGTGGACAGAATGGGTTAAAGTTCTAGCTGACATCTCAAATGCCTCAAATATATTTCCTTCATTGCTGAAGCCAGCAGTGGCCTCTTCTTCACACGCATTCAGCCTTGTGTTTCGAGCTGTTCCATCCAATGCGATGAGTTTCCTCAGGAAGCTCCATGATGGTATGGTCCTCAAAGAAGATCCATCTTCGTCCTCCTTACTTATACACAACACTTCTTTCAGGCTCAGCTTGGACTTTTTATACTTTTCCAGATGAAGCTCTGCCAGAAGCTCGTCCATTTTTTCGTCTTTAAAAAGAATTAAAAAGATAAAACAATTAGTTTCATAGTTTAGACACAACTGTTGATTTTAAATGTTATTTTTTAAAGCAGATCTGTGTTCTTCTGCCGATGCCGAGCCCATAATGTCATAAACAGCACCGAAGGACATGAATAACGAAAAAAGGCGGCTCCCAAGGCAGCCAGTCATGTGATCAAATGCCTAGGCACTAATTCACAAGATCTCTGCTCTGGCAATCCAGGAGGGACAACCCTAACAATTACCCCCGCCCCCTCTGCCCTGGAAAAGTCATGCTGGCCATGAGTGATCCTGCCACATTTTGACAAGACAGATGGTGCCCCCTCCCCCTCTAAAACACCAGACATATGAGCATTACACAGAAAACAACCAATATGGCAACCCAGCAATCATTCTAAGCAGCCAGGGGTCTACAAAGGTCAACCAATCCAATACATATGTACCATCATCAAAGGGATGAGTAAGGCTCTTTGTCTGTTCACTAAGTGGGGTACCTCTTGACCAGCCCATAGTGAAACCATAGTGATTAATGGGTGGCGTACTAAAAATAAGGGCAAGGGTTATACTATGTACATGGATCTGTCATCTCTTTACAATTATTAGAGTGGAAGTACACGGGTATTGCCTTGCAAAAGTAGCTGTGGCATCATCCTTGTGCTGTACATAGCCTGTGCAGAGAGCAGAGTTGTGGGGGGGGGGGGGGAACGTTATTATTGCTATCACACAGGAGCTAACAATCCCCTGTGTGATAGTAATTGGAGGTGACGGGTTCTCTTTATTGACCCTGTCACCTCCAATACAGGAGTTCTAGCACAGCACTGTGCTGGAACTCTCGGCACAGCTGAGAGGGGAAGATTACAGCTCTCCCCTCTCACTGTGTACAAGGAGCGGCAGGGTTTGTTTTAACTCTGCCGCTCTGCTCCCTGCATCGGCGGCTAGTGAGGAGAGACACGGCAGCCGGGGGGAGGACGGAACCAGAGGAGAGAGTCCTTAGATATGGTGGCTGCATTAGTTTTCAGGCTTTTCTCCTTTATTATCACCTGGTGGTCCTGCCAGTAACAGACTTTCTGTTCTAGGGTGACAACACTCACTCACTGCACTGTATCTATGGAGCAGTGTTCTCCCCCCTAGGACCTGGGCTGTCCCTATAATGAGGTAGCCTAAGTCGGTCGCCTCAGGCGGCATCTCATTAGAGGGGCGGCAGGTTTGTCTGTATTCCTTCCTGACATCATCGGTTGCCAGAGAGCTGGGCAGGAGCTCTGGCTGGCTTCGAGCCGGGCTCCTGGAAACCAGGGATGTCAGTAAGCTGGGCCACTGATAGGCACTGCTCTACCCTCTGCCCCCCTATAGCACTATCAGCTCAGCAGTAACCCAAATACCACACACACACACATCCATCACCCGAGCCCCCGCCCCCCACCACCACCACCACTGCTCTACGGCCTCAGGTGTCGATTAGGGTAGGGATGGTACTACAAACACCTCCACATCGCCTCATCTCTATAACGTAGATAGATGGGGGTCCCTTAGTTCTCAGAACACTGTAACTAGTGAAGCACAGGCAGAGAGCACAGGAAGTTCTAAACTCACAAGATTTCTGGCAGGATCAGCAGGCATTTTTTTTTTTCACTTATTGATCAAATATAACAAAACCCTTCTAATTGGATATTTAACAAACCAGCAGGATAGCAGCACATAGGAGAAGTTCACTGTTAGCTTTTAAAGAATACCTCAAAAACGTACCCTGTCACTGCAAAGGTTAGGCGCTCGTGTTGCCTAGGGGGCTCAAATAAAGATATACTCCCCTGATCCTCAGTCCTGCGGCAGTCAGCTCCCCTCAGACTGTGGAGTGTCCCTCAGCATGCTCATGTCTAATGTAAGTCATTGGACCTGACTTAGACATGATGAGGTCACGGGTCCTTAGACCGCTGGAGCCCATGGCCAGAAGATGCTGTGGGCCCGGAGGGACTGAGCCCAGAGGGACTGAGGATTAGGTGAGTAAATCTGCTTTATTTGACAATCCCCCCCCCCCCATTTATTATTATTATTATACAGGATTTATATAGCTCCAACAGTTTGCGCAGCTCCTCACAATATAAGGAAGACATTACAATCACAATACAATTCAAGACAAGATGGTAAGGAGGGCCCTTGCCGTGCCGGGGTGGCCCCACTTAGGGTTGCCATCTGTCCGGGACTCACCCGTATTTTGAATACTGTGTTCCGGGTTTCATGGCAGCTGAAACCCGGACACAAGAGGTCAGGCAGATAGGGGCAACCAAAATTAAGATAGGGGCTACTGCCCCCCGCCACCCACCCACCACTGAAAATAGTCTCAACTGTGATATTTACTTATGAATCAGCTGCGCTATTTACATATGAATAAGCCGCGACTCATTCTCCCAAATACATTTCCGTACGCTGCTAGGGTGTTCGGGTTTTGCTGAAAGAAAAGGGGGCAACCCTAGCCCCACTGCAAGGGCATGTTTTTGATTTTCACGGAGTTACATAGTTGTTAAGGTTGAAGAAAGACACAGGTCCATCGAGATCAAACTTTGAGTTAGTTGTCAATAAATCACAACAAAACCACACGGGTTCTCACAAATAAAAATTCCCAAACGTCCCGTCCAGAATTCACCTTTCCTGTTGGAGTCACACCCAACTTCATCACAATGGCTATGGAGCTGAGAACATTCCACGGTCTATTATCAACCAATGCCCCCTGTTGGAATTCCGGTGTACAGTCCTGTCAGGATAATGTCTATAGTTGTGTACGTGAAAATCCAAACTGACCCTTGGGACTTCCTTCTGGCACCCATTGCATCCTTTGCTATATATGCTCCGAGATGGAGCCTCGCATAGTTTAGAGCTAGGGCCACACTACAGAGAAGGGCCTTGACCAGGCAGTGCGGCTTCCACATATTTTTCCAAAATTGTGCAACTCAAACCTCGGTTTTTTAACCCCGATAGTTGAAAACCGTAATTTGCTCTTTTTTTGCAGGCTAGCTGGCAAGTGTGCTCGGACATTTTTGTTTTCATTCCTTCCTCGGACACATAGGGATGCCACAACTCGGCCTTTTAGGATTTGACTCATCAGAAAGCAGCAGACAAAGAAGCATACGAACCAACTGAGATGACCATTCCTGAAGCTGTTACAGACAAGACACCCAGGGCTGTAGCTACCATGGGGGGCAAGTAGTATCCCAGCTGCTCTCCCCCACCTGTATGGGCAGAGGACTCAATCTCTTTTTCTATTCCAAAAGGGAAATGTTAGGGGTCTGCTTAGACCCCTGATATTTCCCTGAAGCCCCCTAACAGTAAAATAATAGTAAAAAATAAATTAAAACAAAAAACACACACTCATGCACACATATTACTAGACATGTGCATAGAATAAAAATTAGTTTCGGACAAAATGAACGGAAATGAAGAATGTTTTCATTAGTTTCGTCAAACTAAACACATTTTTATGCTATTGTGGATTTGGCCACCAGCGCACTCTGCGCATGCACACCCCCATCCTGGAGGCGGGGCGCATTACGTCACATACCGCTCAGGTGGGGGCACCATTTTCTGTTCTTGCCTCGGGTGCAAAAGGAGCTAGCTACGGCTCTGAAGACAACTAATTCTTCTGAGGCACCGCCTCCTCCTCCAACACCGGGAGGCCCAAAAACCTGTCTAGCTGTGGGTCTCAGACAACCAAAGAAGTCACTTTTGGAGACGTGGTGGTATCACCAGGAGATAATTGAGCAAGAACCAGGGATCAAGCACCAGACCCAAGTAAAATAGTGGCGCTTGGAACAGGGGTGTAACTGGAAATCACAGGGCCCCATACCAACATTTTGTATGGGGCCCTGTGATTTCTAGTTCCGCCTTTTACAGAGCCCACCTGAAATCCGTCACAGCCCACCTGAGAATGACCCTGCAGAGCCCACCATAGACTCTCTATGCTGGGCCCTGCAGGGTCTCAGGTGGGCTGGTCACACCCCTGCACACCTCTTACCTGTCAGCCCCGATCCGCTGTCAGCCTTCTCCACCGCCGAGCCGAGCCTCCTCTTTGGTCACCGGCAGGCCCCCCCTCCTCCACTGCGGCTGTTCCTGGCCTCTTCCAACTCCTTCACCGCCGCCGGGCCCCGTTTCCTCCTCCGCTGCCGCTGCCAGGCCCAGGCCTCCTCTACCGCAGCTGCTGGCTGTCACTGGCGGCAGTGAGGAGGAACACGCTGCTGCACAGATCACAGGTTGTCAGTGATATGGACAGCAGCGTGTTCCTACTCACAGCCGCCAGTAACAGCTAGCAGCCTGCGATGCCATAGCGACCCAGGTGGCCCACAAGGCATCAGGGGGACCCCTTTGTTCCTCGTCCTGGCCGGGCCCCCCTGTGCCCCGGGCCCCATAGCGGCCGCTTGGGTCGCTAGGGCGATAGTTCCACCACTGGCTTGGACGTTATCTCAGCCCATGCCTGAGGCCCACATTGTAAATGTAATGTGCAAGAAAAAAAAAAAAACGGATACAAATACAACAAGGTGAGTGAGAAGCACCCCCCTCATAGTTCTCCTTTAATTTTAGCTTGTAGCTCATCTCCAGTTATAAAAACAAACTCCCCTTGCAGTGTAGCAACCTCCCGCACTGCAATGGTTAACTGCTCACTTTTTGACACACCCAAATTTATGTATAAACACTTCCTAACAAAGGCAGCGCGAAGACCGCCAAAGACGTGCACATTTCTAGAAGCCTTCAGTGATCGGTCAGACCCGCCCATGGAATGAGCTCCAGTCATCTCTGATCGGCTGGTCACTTCAATCTGATCTTTAGATAGGAAGTCAATGGATACAAAGTGATCAATCTCATCCATAATGATTCTACTCACCAACACTCCGCTGTGTCTGAGCTCTGGATTCCTGCATGATGGTGGAAAGTCTCAGGATATAAGAATATGGGACGCAGTTGGCTCTGGTGGGGCCCGTCGCCAGCTTCTCAACAGG